TTGCTTTTTTCCTATTTGACTGTACTTGCGTTCGGCTAGTGTCAAAGGTCGGATTGCATGGGTGATGGCTCTTATAGGTCCGTCAGGAAATCCGTGGGAAATGACTTCTGAGACTAGAATGATACCCATAGATGGGTTGTAATGTGTAAGTCTGTTGATAAACGTGATTTAACTGTATCGAAAGCTTATTGACAGTGAAGCAGCCGGTTACAGGGAACATCCTTTTTTAAGAGATGGTTGAGAAGGAACGGTGCTTATCCGGTAGAAAAGTGTTGTAATAGCTCACCAACCCAAGGAAAGATCCGTCGGTGGTGGTATTCTCTGAATTGCATCAGTGTTGTCCGGGTCAGACTAATGGTCATATTTATCGAAAATAAAATCCGAATGTTTGATAGACGTAAAAGAAAACGTGCGTTTTCTCATCCGGAGATCTAAGCTGTATTCCTGGATTTGATCAAGTACTGAAGTTAGGCGATTAAGGAGTTTTTTCCCGATCAGATGCTGCCACGATGATATCATTCAAGTACGCCACGACGCCTGTTCACTCATTGAGCGCAGCGTCCTTGAACTGCTGGAATATGGCTGGCGCCGTTTTTCCTCCAAAGATTATTGAACTGGAAAAGACCACGGTGCTTGTTATTGGCTAGAAGGTCTTTAGAGTCACTCGCAACTTCGGTTTGTAAATAGGCTTCGGTCAGATCAAGTTTAGCGAAGTAAGTACCACCACTGAGTTTGGTAGACGGATCTGGAACTGGGAGAGGATACTGATGCGAATCGAATGCAGCATTCAAGCCCGTTGGATAATCAACACAAATCCTGACATTCTCGCTCTTTCTGTTGACCACAACAATGGAAGCTGTTCAGGAAGAGTAGTTGACAGTCTAGCTAACACCCGATGTTTGGAGACGACCGAGTTCAGCACCCGTAGATACAAAAGCCGCATAAAGTACATGGCGTTTTCGTCTGAAGACAAGTTTGCTATTGGGTTTCAAGTGAAATGTGGCTTGGGCTTTAAAACAATTTTCAAGACCATCTTAAAAACACTGGAAAATTTTAATTAGGTTATGCGCGTAAGTTGTTGGAAAATGTTTGTATGAGTGAGATGAACGTTTGTCGCCTACGGACTGTAGAGGGACACAAAAAGATTTAACTGATCTATCCAATCAAGACCAAGCAAATTCAGATCTGAACAATTTGTGAGGTAGCAGATACCTGTGAATTGCCCATTGTTAAAAGATACATCATAAGTGAGTTCGCAATTAAGCGGCAAGTTGTTGATGGAAGCAGTCTGTACAATGGTTGGCAGCAGACAATAATGGCGTGCAATTGCATTCCAAATCGGACATGAGATCCGTGTGATGTCTGAGGCTGTATTGAGCTGAAGACGGATAGAATGATTATTCGCGCAAAGTGTGATAAATTTCCCATGGGATGCGAGATCCACCCTGAATGATACGAAGACAGATTTCGATCGACGACATCACTTCTGTTGTTATGTAAGAGCCGTTTTAAGTTCGCCCTTTCGGTGATCAGTCGGCTAGATTTTCTTTTCTTATGGCCAATACGACGACATTTCTGGCACTGGTGTTTTTGGAACAGACAAAAGCGGATGTGATGCCAGTCACCACAAGACTAACACTGTGGTGTCAACGAATTCTTCACAATATATTTGTGAATGCCGTGGTTGTATGAGGGCTGGGATACTGCCAGAGCGTCCACACCTAAACAGGAGGACGATTAGGGTCCTCAACCAAAGCCTTCGGCTCAAAAGCCTAACCACAAGGCAGAGGTGTCGGGCTGGAAATGCAAGCACATTACTATTTTTACGGAACACGTCGCCATACATGTTCCAACCCCCAACCTGGAGGTCCAGGAGACTGTGTTCGTCAGACCTCTACCCATGGACCAACCTGGTATGAGAGACTCTGAGTGTCGCGTGGATACCCCCCAGTATAGCTCAATGGGTCTCAGAGGTACACAAACCGCCACACCACGGTAAAGTGGCGGCTTCACAAGATAATTAGAAAACGGGTATTTGGTGTGCAGAAAGTACTTCAATCGCCAAAATATCCAGCAACATGATTAGCGGTGACTTGACCATGTGCTAAATATGCCGAAACAATGTCTACTGAGATGAGTGTTCCCCCCCCCCTGTTTTTTCTCCTTCAGAATGGTGCGAACCGCGAGGTGCACAACGTATGACCTAGGAGAGGGGTGTGAAAGAGATTACAAGGAGTTTGGGTGTTATTGGTACAGAACGTCTTGCAGAATGGGGTCCCAGCGACATCTACGATTGGCTGGAGAAATTGCGAGAAACAACGGTTTATCGATGTCAATGGCGCTCCTGTTGTCATTTTCTTTCGGTTAGAGGTGTAGGCACCTCTGCAACAGATCCCTTCTCTCACCTGCTCTTTTCCCCTCTTTTCATTCTAAGGCTGCGTATGTAATTAGATGAACTTTATTTGTACGACGGTGAGACATTGGTGTGAACACTGATGTTGCTGTCTCTTATGATGATGATTAGTGTAGTTCAGCCGGTTGTTGAGGTCCGAAAACTATTGCACCACGATAACCTTCGATCTCTTCACGGTGGCCTCGAGTGGCAGGTTTATTTTGTTGGACATGGTATCCCTACTAATGGTATTGTCATGGAAAGGCCGATTTGTCTTTTACCATCAGGAAACGGGTTGATTTGACCAACCGTGACGCACTTGACGCATAACAGACACATGGGCCTCCATTGCTATCGAATGCCATTCGGATAAGCTATTATCTATTTTCTCCTACCTGTCTTTATTACTCCAGATTGGGCATCAACAGCCGGTGTTTGACAGACACGAATGCCCTTTGAAAGCCGAATGTGCCTGCATCCATGTTATAACTTGCGGGACGGTAGTGCAACTCTGTGTCGGTCCCTTGGCTTCCTGCTCCGCCCACTATGGTATAGCAAAAGGCACGGTAGCTCTACACAGCCCTTTATGGAGACAAAGGAAAATCATTACAACTGTATATATATAGGGTAGTCACAGAGTGTTCCACAAGGTCGTGCCAGAATGTCCGTGAGGGGGCGAAAAGCGTCGAGTCAAGGTACTTGGCTCGGATTGGTTGGCATTCTGACCAATCAGGGCATGCCTACGTCTGGCCCGTGTCCTGCACGTGACACATGCGTTCCAAATGATTTGATGTTCGGTTATTAGGGACGGCTGGCCCCCGAACAATCCAATTTTTTATCGCGCCAGTCGCATAAGCTTTGTGGTTTCGAACCTTCAGCAAGTCAGATAAACCTGGCCATCTCTTGTATTCGGATTGGCTGGCCCGTTATTCACTAGGTTTTCAACATTAGGCCGACGGATTCCCCTTCTTGACCTTGCAGTGTAAGTTCATGAGCCCTAGTCAGATTCCGTCAATGCCAAATTTCTACGTCCTTATGAGTAAATTTCCGGCGTTCAAACGATAAAAACGTAATAATGGGTATGACGGCATAGCATTGTATTGAAAGACGCCTCGGTGATCGGATTGAATAGAGCAAGTAGGCTAGATCTGAAGTGGATGTGCCGCGCTATGTAGTCATTGCAATTACTGATACTTCAATTAAAGTTGAGACACCTATTGTAAGATCTCAATGGGTTGTCATAAGTTGTGAGGTGCCGGTTGATGAGTAAATCATTAGGACAGTATACCGGAAAGTATACAACATTCGGGAATCAGTTTAAAGGAAGAAAGTTACCAAAAACTTTTATATTCAACTTTGTGAACCTTGCCGATTGTTTTATGGGTTCATCTAAAATACTTTACCCCAACCTAAACTTTTGGACTCGTCGAACTCTACGTGCTCTGCCTGCTGACCACTTCAATGTATCTGTACCAGTGAATCCTACCCAGTTTAAGCTGCTTGGCAGATTGACAAGGACTGGGGAAGAGGATGTGCAATACTAGATATGCTTGATCCAACTTTCTCTTCAGAAGCTTGAAGATATTCTAACAAAGGCGGTTGCTGTTTCTCGTTCATTTACATCCGCCTTATCTGCGTTGATTTTTTCAGGAACCTTTAACTGAGGGATTTATGGATGTGCTAGGCTTTCCAGAATACCGTAAAAATCCCGAATGATCAGCACCTTGTGCGCTATACGTTTTCCAAGTTGTTGGATAGGAATGCGGTTTTATTTAAATTGCGTGCGTAATTGAGATCGGATGATATGGTTTACAGAAGTAGGATGCTGAAAATTATCCCGAATCTCTAAACTAATTGTGGTTGCTTAGTTTCTGTAGTCCCATTGCATCGACATCATCGTTTATCACTGTTTCCGGAATTGAAATAGCGAGCAAACTCGAATCTATAAAATGCACAATGAAACAGTAAAATTCAAGGGTTAATTAATGCAATATCTTCTCACCATTGTAGCACATTCGAGCCTGCTGTTCAGCTTGGTGTCAACTGACTCTTCATCTTTTGAACAATTTCGGTGAGGCACTGGGAAGATTTGCGCAATGGCCACCAACGCTGCTAACCAGAATGCTTCCGGTATACATCAAATGCTGTCGGAGCGGAAACAAACGTTTGAGACGAAACTCGCGATTGTTATCAACTGCGAATGTGTCCTTCAATCACCTGAAGCTAATGTAATGCAACCAGCTATTCTAACTCCTATCAACTGTACAGATGGCATCATTACGCGAGCTGATGAAATTATTTGAGGCGAAAAAAATTATATCTGTCAAAGAAATTCGCCTAGCTTTGGTCGCTTCCCTTTGCGTGGTTTTCAAAGACATTCTTCCGGCTTATCGGATTCGTAGTTTGACGGAGCAAGAGAAAACCCAACAAGTTGGATTCACTCTAATGTAGCCAATTTTTCCAGATGAAAAAAGAAACCAGGAAGTTACAGTTTTTCGAGGAAAATCTTTTAATAAATTACAGGAAATATACCGAAGTCCTCCGGGTTATTCTCCAGAGTAAGGAAGGACCTAACCTTTGTAAGCTTTTAGGTAAATCTTTGTCCCAGAAATCATCCAAACGGCAGGAAACTTATGCGAAAATCGATTGGAATGAGGTAAGTTTTCGTTATACGTTTTTCCCCACAACCCACTTCTAGTCCGATCGAACGACAGCACTAAAAGCCGTATGTGAACTCCTTAAAGCACATCCACAATTCAACCTCAGTGATGAACTTATCATGGCTGTGTTACCCTTCCTAAATGATAAACGCGAACAAGTATGTCGAAATGATGGATTCACGAGATTTTTCAGGTTTATTCTATCGTCCTCAAGACGTTGCAGTTAATCTTTTCCGATGATTGCGACGGAAAGGTCTCCCTGGAAGTAAGTAGAAAACCATGGCTACCTTGCTTATTTATACACCCTTTTTAGATCTGCAGGGCCATTCACGCGTTTGCAAAGAAAAAGTCCTACAACGTTCGTCCTGCGATCGCCAAAGCCTTGTCTCTTGTACCTATCAAAGAAGTGGAAGATGCGGAGGAGAAAACATCAGTTGGCCGCAATCGAAAAATGATGTCACGGCGTGAACGAAAGGTGCTGTTAATTCATCTTCTATAGGCCATGTCTTATGGGTAGACGTTAGCCGATCGACGGGACCGTTTTTGACATCTATGTGATGTTTTCATAGATAGTTGTCATCATCATAATCAATGACACCAATACACCAATAATACATACTGGTGCCTAACTGACATGGGGGTAGTGGGGTCTATCTGTGACGATACTGTTTAACGAAAGTTCCATGTACGTTCGCCAACCTACTGATTACTATTCTCCTCTGTGATTTCTCAAACGGTCCTCAGTTTTACTGACAACTTTTTTCAGTTACTTCCCATTTGAGAGAATTGCATGTACAAGCGTTTTATAATCCCCCATTTTCGTCAACTCAGTCAGAACTATTTGGTTTAGTTCGCTTATTGTCTCGTCACGTCGCGTGCGAACGTGTTTCTGCATAAGATCGACTAGAAGGTAACCTTGCGGTCCGTCTTATTACCCTCACGGTGGATGAAAACGATGGTCTGTGTCGTTTCTGGTTTGGGTTTCACAGGGGGCTGCACTGTAATATGAGAACGTATATGTGAACGGTACGTAAACATACCGTAAACTTGTTTGGTGATTTTTATTATAGAAGGATACGGGCAAAACTTTTTTCGCAGGAGTATAGGCCTAATCTCCTGCCTGTCAGATTACGGTTACCTACGTAAAAATGTTCCCGTTTAGACTCATCCAGCTTACTACCTAAATATGAATCCTATCAAAACGGTTTGGGGTGTAATTTCTGGACAACCGTGGAAGTCACTTTGAAAGCATGACTAACTTAAAACCATGGTTGAAAACGTTTTGAAGATGTATCCTCATTTAAATGTAAAATAATAAAAATCGTTCAGCTGTAGCACCCTTCCGGTGCCTAGCTGCCATGCCACATGAAGGAGGCACGAGGGCTGGGATACTGCCAGGTTGCCAAAGCCTAGACAGGGGAAGTCGAGAGGCAGAGGTTGGGTTTGAACCACGAACTATCTGGTCAGTAAATTCGCGCTCTAACCACTTGGTCCATTTAAATGTAACCGAGCATTTTTACCTCGATATCCATATACTCGTATAACTTTTTGCCTGCTCTTCACTTGTACCAAATGTTTCTCTTCCTGTCTGTTCAATGCAAAAGTACCGATTTGATAATGGCTAACTCGTTATTACGTACATTCTGACGAAAGATGACCAATATGTGCACACTTGACGGGATTACACGCGGAATCTGGCATCCGTACTGCCTCGTCCTATACTGCTTATTCTCCGCCAACTTTGTTTCAGAAAGACAAACTAGAAAAGAAGCACGAAAAGGAGATGGCAGAAACCCGAGCCACTCAGTCGCGAGAGGACAGGAAAAAACTGGTTGGTTATCCGCCGTTCAAACTGATGCGAATAACGTTTCTTCATAGAACACATTAATTTTGAATGAAATCCTATTCGTCTATTTCAAACTGTTGAAAACTACCAGAAATTCTCAGCTTCTCACCACTGTGCTCGAGGGTGTGGCCACGTAAGGTTTATGTCGTTTCTACAAGGTCTTACTCAACACTATTATCTTTCTCACTTTAGGTATTCTAGCTTAATCAATGTGATCTACGTGGATAGCTTGCTCTTGATTCTTAACCGTTTCATCGCCCAAGAGGTACGTTAGACCCATTTTCGTTTTCATTTCATGTGCTCATTGCCACGCCACTTCCACGTGCCTTTTAACATTTAAGGCAATCGATGAGGGGACATCGTTTTTCTTTGGTGATACCATCCGGAATTTTGCACGGGACTTTTATAGATTTAGATTCTCTTAGTTTACTGTTGTCTGGTTCATATTAACAACCATTGGCCAACCACAACTGTATTGGAGACATCATAGTTTGCAACTGAGTGTATATTCGCTAATTTCGTGCTATTCGGTTCCAAGTAGAATATAAGGTTGACGGAAACTTAGGGACTGCGCCTAGCTGATGAGCCTGAGAAGGGCGAAACGGTCGTAGGCTCTCGGGGAGTTTTCAGCAACCTTATGAGTAGTGCATTACAAAAGACATCAGATATATTTTCATTAGTCGGCTTGTCTGTTTAGTCTAGCTTGTTTAGCCACCCATAACCTGGTTCCGATTGACACAGCTTTTTATTTGATAGTAGTGTGAGGAGGTTTTGTTCCGCTACTGGGGCCAGTCTATGCCGAAATGCCGAGGAGCACTGTACAGATGCTTCATCCCCATTCGGAATCATCTACAGCTCACATTTCGCGAAACAACTGGGAGTTTTGGACCTCTCGGCTAGTAGTATGAATAATTAGCCGGTACGACGGGCTGACGGGCGTTGTTTGACTATAGTTGAGAGGGATTAAAAAGAAGCTAGTATGAACAGTGCGTTAGGCTTAAGAATTCAAGGCCCGGTTTTTTCTAGAATAAGAATAAGAAGATTCATGTTGGAAGCAGAGTAGGGAAGAGGCTGACGCGCAACCGGATTGCTCAGAGCCCAGCTGGGTTACGAGATGGCGTCGCAACGTCTGCTTAGTCTCGAAATCGTTACTTTCTATGTTAAGTACCTTTAACTACATTACCAACCTAGATATCGTGCTGTTCTGCCCGATGGTTTGTCTTGAAACAACTAGATCTGTCTCTGTTCGATTTCATGACTTGGCGGTTCGTCACTCGATGTCAGTTCTGTAGACATACAATCAGGTAACCAATAAGTGTGTGGGAAATCTGGTCAATGCTGGTTTTCCGACAGTATTTCAATTCGAATCTTCCAAATGGTGGTCCTCATTTCTTAATATTGCGTCCGTGTTTGCCTACGAATATCCTTTGTTCGTGCACATCATTTGTCTATTTAAACTAAAACCGATGCATCTCTTCTTACCCCCCAGTCTACTAGTCTCCGAGATGGTTTGAATTGCGTAAACGCCGCTTTGAATGTAATGAATCACCCTGGCTCTACGTCTGCATTGGAAACCGACCCAACTCGTTTCTACAACCATTTGTACAGTTTGTTGGGTCGTATGTCCGGTGTCTGCAGTCCGTGTGATAAGATCAGACCCAACACCAAGTTGGATAGCTTATCGACTGCTTACGCTCGTTCTTCAACGCCCGCTGCATTTGCAGTAGCCCAGTACATACACAAAAATACGATAACGAAGCCCATCTCTTCTGTGCCAGACAGTCCTAATTGTACTCCAGATGATGAATACTCTAAAGGACGTGTGGTTCTCAAAGATTCCGAAGAAATGACAGACGTTATGCTATCCTCTCTGAATATGCTGTTAATCCGGCGTAGGCGGGATGTCTCTAGCAATCGCGTGTTGGCTTTTGTGAAGCGTCTCGCTGGTGCAGCATTAGCCATGGTAAGTTCGGGTCTTATGATACCGCGGCTGAACACTTTGTTTTCAAGATAGTCTGCTTCCATTCGTCCTAAGGGACTGCTACCAGTTCATCCATCCAGATTTCATGCTCCCAACTGGTTATCTAACTTCTCTTCTAAGTGTAATCACACAGTACTCCTGAAGTCTGACGTTGCATTGTCATGGCGCAGAAATCATCAGCAAACGTACGTCACGTATGGCGTCAGAATTGAATTTCACTGAGGCTGATGGTCATGCTTACGAGGCAACTGTAAGAGCAGTCTTAATCTATGGTTTTGGAACATGGCTCCTATCTCTAACGGCGCCTTCGCGTGACTGCAGCCTATTGGCAATGAAGTGTTGCGTAAGCGAGTACTTGGCATGGAATCGGAATAACTAGGCCACCAAGTGAAACCCATCAATCTAAGGTGCTTGTAACGTATGTAACGTATGTAACGTATGATCACGTGCTGTCTCCCGGAGAACTGTTGTTGGTGACAGGCTCGCGGGTGCCAGACCGTGAACTCGACAATGTAAAATAAAGCCAGCTACTCTCGAAACGAATGCTTGGAGTTTCCAAGAATTTTAAAAGAATCTTTCGGCTGTAACACCCTTTCGGTGCCTAGCTGTCATGCCACTCGAAGGAAGCACGAGGTCTTGGATACTCTCAGGTTACTCAAGCCTAGACAGGGGAGGTCGAGAGCCAGAGGTCGGATCGGACCTTCCGGTCGGAAAATCGCACCATAACCACTGAGCTATCTTGCCACTGAGAAGCATCGTACAGCTGTTTCATCCTTATCTGAAATCATCAGCAGTGCACATCTCACGAAAATCCGGAGTCTCTCGAACCCGCGACTTTCTGGCTAGTAGTTTGAACACTTAACCGTTCGGCCACGAGCGGGTCGGAGTCTTAGTGGTGAGTATGCTGTCACTTCTTAATCGGATTGCCTAGGTGAATTTTTTAATTGTAGGTTAGGCTGATGTCGAGTGAAGTGCACGAAAGACGGGGGGGGGGGGAGATAGCTCAGTGGTTATGGCTCGACTACTGACCGGGAGGTCAGTGGTTCGAATCCGACCTCTGCCTCTCGACTTCTCCTATCTAGACTGGGGCAACCTTGCATTATCATAGCCCTCATGCTTATTTCGAGTGGCATGGCAGTTAGGCACCGAGAGTGTGTTACAACTGAACGAATAATTAAATCATTAGAATAATAGACCGCTATTTACATCATGCCTACGTCCTTCACATTTCTTACTAGGGCATTCTTCCTTATAGTCGCGTAGGCATTAAACACCAGCATTTACTACTGGTGTACTACTATAGCTGATGATGATTTTCTGCCTTGTTAACTCCTGATGTTTTAGTTACTGAGACTATCTTCGGAAAATTAAAGGTTTATTCTGATCCTGGGTGACCCTTGTGTGGCCCATAAGTAGCAGCCAAAAAACTGCGGGCCAATATTCTACGTGTCCAATTCTGTCAAGCTAACCGGATGAGCCTTAACAGAGACAAAGACGTTCGTGTGGTTGAGCTTTGGTAGATTCGGCCACCTATTTTTTCGGGAAGGTCTACAGTTTTTCCAGAATTAGTTTTCTTGTTCGGTTGAAGTTTTGAGTCCTCCCCTGTCCTACCTGTGTTCCTATATTGTGTTTCAATTTTCTCTCAATCGCCATAGTCCGAACCAAGCTGCACAGGTACAATATTGGTTCAACTTATCCATCTCCTTCGGCTGTTCCCCCGTTGCGAAGTATTGTTTGATTCTGAAACCGAAGTTGGTGGTGCCTATCGCCCAAACGTGGATGATCCTGAAGCCTGCCTCCCAGCCAGTGCTTGTTTGTGGGAGCTGGTCGTTCTCGAAAGGCATCCATCGCTTGTGGTAAGTTTCTTACTTTGTCTTCCGAAAATAAGGCTGAGAGTGATGGTGACCAGATGTCCATATGTTTGGCATGTACGGCGCCCGTTTGGTATGTGATTTTTGGTGTTGGGGGTACCTGAACAGACAAAATATACGGCGATCCTGTCACTCCCCTGTTCAGGGTGTGTGGGTGCATGAAAGATGCTCCCCCAGCCCTTCGTAGTGAAAGGGGATGTTTAAGGTGTTATACAGTAGGCTGAATCGAGACTGCAGTAGTTAGTTCGTCCTCGATAGGCTTCGTTTCGAGCCGCTGATTCAATAGTCCGATCTGGTTGGTTGTGGAATGCTGGTCTAGCTGGTGTGACGTGAGCCCTCAAGTCCTGCTCCTAATGCCTCTGGACTCAACGAAAACAGCAGTGTTTATTACAATGAACCGGTCTACTTATTTCCAGATCTACTTAGATCATATTCACACACTACAACTTCAATGGCACAGCCTTTCCGGGTGCTCAAGGTGTGTGGTTTTCAGAGCGCTGCTATGCTTTCAGCAAGTTTTGATCGACTGCAGAACACACCTAATTACCATCACATTTCTATCACAAAGGCTGATACCAGTTTTCTTCCGAAATACATTTCGCTCCTATTATTCTCAGAAGGATGCCTTATTATTATTTTTTCTGTTTGGTAATAATCGTATGGTTGAACTTTGCAGCTACAACGACCGTTGTTCTAGGTACAGTGGCCATACACCGTCTTAGCCACCATTTCTAGATTGACTATATGTGTTGAGTTGATAAAGATGTACTACCGATTTTGGTCACAAACAACATGATATGTTGGATGGACTGGGGGCGCTACAGTCAAGATGGAATCTATTCCTAATGACGGTTGTCAAGGCCAGTGAAAAAATCACTGGTGCTTCACTACGATACAGTCATGTCAGCCTTGTTGAGTAAAGTGTAGTTGAAATCATAGAGATGAGACAGGGGATTCGCCGACAGTACCGTGTTCGGTTCTACCAGATACAGTTTTGAAGTATAACTGAACTCCCAAGCGAGTCCGGATAAACTCGTGACGTAGTCTCAGGAAGGTCGCCCATTTCTTAATGTAACCACGTATTATTCTCAATAATCCCAGGCAGGCACACTGCGTCAATTTCTTAACGCCGTGCCTGTCACTACTAACGGTATGTTCTTTTCAAACGTGAAATACTTGGGCGTAAGCCTGCCTAAAGAGGCTCAGCTAGTCCTCTTATACTAAAACGGTCTTCGCTAGTCTTTTCCTTACTCAGATGGAAGATATTGAACCAATCTTGTCCTACTGGAGGTAGTGTTCATTTGTTGTAGGCCCCTTCGCCTTTGAGAATGATTCCGCTTTATTGTAGCTTCACTAAAGCTTGTTTGGGGATCCAGTGACACTTTAACGACTGTCTTTGTTGACCTCCTGGTTGGATACGAAACACACACTGCAGCCCGTTTTCTCTGAACCCATTTCATATTCCAGAATACGCCCCAAATTTATGTTGCCAACTGAGACTTGCTGACCCAATGACTCGTTGACAGTAATTTGGTAATACATTGACTGTGATTAAGGCCCCTTGTTTGATTATTCCTTTCATTTCAAAAGTCTTTATGTCGATTTTTTGTATCTTTCGAATTCGAATATTTGACACCGCTGACAGTCCGCCCTCCAGTTTTTAAAGCCTTTTCTGATTCGAATATTTTTCATTGGTCTTCTCTTAGGTACGTGAACTAGCCAAAGCAGCACTGCACTGGGGGCGAACGATACATACCTACGGCCCCACGGAAGCAGCCATCAGACGGTATAACTTCAACATCGGACCGAGAGACTTAACTCTAGATCACCTCATTCAACTGTCTCCTGCAGATTGCCGGCTACAGTTGGCTACCATCTGTGAGGAGCAATCTGCGGAACCGGTTCGAGTGACTCCAACGACTAAGAAGCGGTTCCACCAAACATATGTTCCTTCTGATTGGTTCAAGAGCATGCTGGAACAATCGGGCTTGTCAAAAGAATATGGCGATGTTTTACACTCTAAGCGCCCAAGGATTGAGAAATCATAGCAGCTGTTTGCTTTTTAAACAACTGTGTACATTTCTTATTGTAATAAAACAACCCGCACTAGATATCTTGATTTTCCTCTTTCGTTATTGGAATCCTTAGCATTTTTATACTGACTGAACGACGCGTGTCTGCGTTCCGTTTTGCAAAACGAACTTCCTAGTAAACATCCATGGCCGTGATGTTGATACTGATATATCGACTCCCCCTCAGAAAAAGAGGCCGTCATGGGGACTGGGGGCTGCCGAGAGTTGTCTCCTCTCCAGAGGGACTGCGTATTGTGTTCTGCCAAACGGAAAATTCTGTTGCATAATGGAAACTACTCACAAGTTTGCTGAAAACTCTTCGACGACCCACGACGAGTTTCGACCTTCTTGGGCTCAGCAGGCATGCGCATCACCGAGTTTCCGTTTAATCTTAAGACACGGTTCTCTTTTGAGAGATTTCTAATTCCTCCTGTGTTCCCTAGCAGTTGGGATGACGAGCCATGATCGTGACCTAATGATTTGTGAAACAACATGCACAAACGCACTTTGTGATGCGGAAAGCAACCACAACATGCCTATATGATATATCAGAATCCCAACAGAGCTAATTTTCTAAGTGCGTTGTGGATATATTGTTTTCTTGGTAATGTTTTGGAAGAAGAGAGGAACTACCCAACCAACAGCGCACTGAAGATGTCTACTCGAATGGTGACGAAACGTTTGCAAATCAATTGCCAAGCTCGGCGAACAGATCAACAGCCGCCTGATCACTTACCAACAAATATTATTTTCTCCTCGTGAGGTATTCGTGTGTTTGCTGCGTTCGGTGCCGTGTGCGTGTTGCAGCCGGAGTTCTGTGCTAGTCTTCGGCTGTCTCGTTGTGGATTCGGCAAAATTGAGCACTGGTCGTTGTTCTCGTAGCTTGGCGTTTTTGCAGACGTCATGTTCCATGCGCGCCCCACATGTGGTTAGTTTCGGTCGTTCGTCTTAGTGCAGCCCAGATGAGGGGGTTTGGATATGTTTGTTTTGTGTAAGAGGAGTACGGTTAGTATGGTTCTGTTTGAGGACTGATGGATATGGTCGGTTTGGAATGTCGTGTATTGCTGATGGATGATTGGTGATGTTTGATTGAGGTGATTTGGTTGGTTTGTGTGGTCGTTTGACATTGTGGTCTTGTGCTGTGGGTTTGTTGTTTCGCCATATGTGATGATTGGTTGTGTGTGTCGCTCGCGGTTGGTTTTGTGTTTGTATGTGGTTTTGGTTGTTTGTGGTATTGGTTGTGCAGTGACTGTTGTTTGTATTCAACGGATTGTTTGGGTTGTGGATATATTGTTTTCTCCTCGTGAGGTATTCGTGTGTTTGCTGCGTTCGGTGCCGTGTGCGTGTTGCAGCCGGAGTTCTGTGCTAGTCTTCGGCTGTCTCGTTGTGGATTCGGCAAAATTGAGCACTGGTCGTTGTTCTCGTAGCTTGGCGTTTTTGCAGACGTCATGTTCCATGCGCGCCCCACATGTGGTTAGTTTCGGTCGTTCGTCTTAGTGCAGCCCAGATGAGGGGGTTTGGATATGTTTGTTTTGTGTAAGAGGAGTACGGTTAGTATGGTTCTGTTTGAGGACTGATGGATATGGTCGGTTTGGAATGTCGTGTATTGCTGATGGATGATTGGTGATGTTTGATTGAGGTGATTTGGTTGGTTTGTGTGGTCGTTTGACATTGTGGTCTTGTGCTGTGGGTTTGTTGTTTCGCCATATGTGATGATTGGTTGTGTGTGTCGCTCGCGGTTGGTTTTGTGTTTGTATGTGGTTTTGGTTGTTTGTGGTATTGGTTGTGCAGTGACTGTTGTTTGTATTCAACGGATTGTTTGGGTTGTGGATATATTGTTTTCTCCTCGTGAGGTATTCGTGTGTTTGCTGCGTTCGGTGCCGTGTGCGTGTTGCAGCCGGAGTTCTGTGCTAGTCTTCGGCTGTCTCGTTGTGGATTCGGCAAAATTGAGCACTGGTCGTTGTTCTCGTAGCTTGGCGTTTTTGCAGACGTCATGTTCCATGCGCGCCCCACATGTGGTTAGTTTCGGTCGTTCGTCTTAGTGCAGCCCAGATGAGGGGGTTTGGATATGTTTGTTTTGTGTAAGAGGAGTACGGTTAGTATGGTTCTGTTTGAGGACTGATGGATATGGTCGGTTTGGAATGTCGTGTATTGCTGATGGATGATTGGTGATGTTTGATTGAGGTGATTTGGTTGGTTTGTGTGGTCGTTTGACATTGTGGTCTTGTGCTGTGGGTTTGTTGTTTCGCCATATGTGATGATTGGTTGTGTGTGTCGCTCGCGGTTGGTTTTGTGTTTGTATGTGGTTTTGGTTGTTTGTGGTATTGGTTGTGCAGTGACTGTTGTTTGTATTCAACGGATTGTTTGGGTTGTGGATATATTGTTTTCTCCTCGTGAGGTATTCGTGTGTTTGCTGCGTTCGGTGCCGTGTGCGTGTTGCAGCCGGAGTTCTGTGCTAGTCTTCGGCTGTCTCGTTGTGGATTCGGCAAAATTGAGCACTGGTCGTTGTTCTCGTAGCTTGGCGTTTTTGCAGACGTCATGTTCCATGCGCGCCCCACATGTGGTTAGTTTCGGTCGTTCGTCTTAGTGCAGCCCAGATGAGGGGGTTTGGATATGTTTGTTTTGTGTAAGAGGAGTACGGTTAGTATGGTTCTGTTTGAGGACTGATGGATATGGTCGGTTTGGAATGTCGTGTATTGCTGATGGATGATTGGTGATGTTTGATTGAGGTGATTTGGTTGGTTTGTGTGGTCGTTTGACATTGTGGTCTTGTGCTGTGGGTTTGTTGTTTCGCCATATGTGATGATTGGTTGTGTGTGTCGCTCGCGGTTGGTTTTGTGTTTGTATGTGGTTTTGGTTGTTTGTGGTATTGGTTGTGCAGTGACTGTTGTTTGTATTCAACGGATTGTTTGGGTTGTGGATATATTGTTTTCTCCTCGTGAGGTATTCGTGTGTTTGCTGCGTTCGGTGCCGTGTGCGTGTTGCAGCCGGAGTTCTGTGCTAGTCTTCGGCTGTCTCGTTGTGGATTCGGCAAAATTGAGCACTGGTCGTTGTTCTCGTAGCTTGGCGTTTTTGCAGACGTCATGTTCCATGCGCGCCCCACATGTGGTTAGTTTCGGTCGTTCGTCTTAGTGCAGCCCAGATGAGGGGGTTTGGATATGTTTGTTTTGTGTAAGAGGAGTACGGTTAGTATGGTTCTGTTTGAGGACTGATGGATATGGTCGGTTTGGAATGTCGTGTATTGCTGATGGATGATTGGTGATGTTTGATTGAGGTGATTTGGTTGGTTTGTGTGGTCGTTTGACATTGTGGTCTTGTGCTGTGGGTTTGTTGTTTCGCCATATGTGATGATTGGTTGTGTGTGTCGCTCGCGGTTGGTTTTGTGTTTGTATGTGGTTTTGGTTGTTTGTGGTATTGGTTGTGCAGTGACTGTTGTTTGTATTCAACGGATTGTTTGGGTTGTGGATATATTGTTTTCTCCTCGTGAGGTATTCGTGTGTTTGCTGCGTTCGGTGCCGTGTGCGTGTTGCAGCCGGAGTTCTGTGCTAGTCTTCGGCTGTCTCGTTGTGGATTCGGCAAAATTGAGCACTGGTCGTTGTTCTCGTAGCTTGGCGTTTTTGCAGACGCCATGTTCCATGCGCGCCCCACATGTGGTTAGTTTCGGTCGTTCGTCTTAGTGCAGCCCAGATGAGGGGGTTTGGATATGTTTGTTTTTTTGTAAGTGGGGTCTGGTTATTTTGTGCGGCTCTTTTTGTTATTTGGTTTCATTCCGGCTTCCTTATGGTGTTTTCCTCTACTCGCTTTTTAGTTTATTACTGTGGACAGCATATTTTCCTTGCATTCGTAATATTTCTTTCTCTTTGCTCGATTCTTCCGTGGTCCCCGTGGAATTTCGCTGTGTCGATTGTTTTGTCCTGTGTATTTATATACCCTAGTTTAAATTTCTAAAATTATTTTTTTTCCTTTTTGTTTTTTTTTCTTATTATTTTTGTGTTTCTTTTAGCTCGTTTCTCGCAATAGTTGTTTCAGGTAATATCCTGAGTATGTCCAAACAGGCTTTTGTTCCCTCTTCGGTCACTGGTCGGAAAATGTCGGGTAAGTTTCGTTGGTTTGCATTTTCATGAGTTACTTTTTATTCCGACTTCCTCGACGCGATTTTCCGCTCCAATGTTTTGAGCTTACATATTCACTAATCTGTTGGACTATTTTGAATGAAGTGGTCGTCTTCCCGAGTGCGCGCTTTATAGAGGCGTTGGTTTTTTCGGGTCCGAGTGTTTTGAATAATGGATCGAAGTGAAGTGAATTGGAATGAAGTATTAATCGTATCATAGTGCTTAAGATTGTTTACTTTTCCCACGACGCCTAAATAACTGCCTTTCCTACGGTATCATATGTTGCGTTGGGGAGTACTGTTGTCTCGGCTAGACTCAATCAGTACGTTGTGACCGATAAACGGACGAACGGTTGTCCACAATGCTGACGTCATGATTGTAAAAACTGCTGCTGATTCCATTCAGACAATATTGACCAATAGTTATTCAAGGTAATTCAAGGTTTAATGGTCTAAAAAGCAGTTAACTTTACAACGACCATAGGGTGAACGTATATATACAAAGGGACGCATAGATATGCGTAATGTTTGCTGAGTATCACATGGAGTTAGACAGTTCCAGATTCGGTTTGGACATAAGATATGCATCTAAATTGTTCTTGAAAATGGTTAAACTCGGCGAATGTACAACATTGGGAGGTAGGGAGTTACAAATGAAACATACATGGACCGCAAAAAAGATCCGTCGACAGTTCACCCTCGAGTGAGGTACCGCGAGCGAAAAGTCATGCCTCCTGCCCGTTCGTGGTCGACGTCGGACAAAAAGATTTTCCAGCGGATGATTAGGTGTCTTCAGTATATTATATGTTAGAATTAGGTCTCCCCTGATGCGCCGATAGTAGAAGTCATATAGGTTGAGACTGGTAATCCTGTCTTCGTATGGTTTATTATGCAATCCAATTACTAGCATCGAGGTTCGATGATATATTCGCTGTAGAAGAATTATGTCTTTTTGAAGCCATGGTGACCAAGCTTGTATAGCGTACTCCATGGTTGGTCGGATGTAGGTATTGATTACTCGGGGCAGTGCCAGTCGAGTGAAACGACCAAAAATCTGTTTTAGGAGCGACAGGACTTGTGAGGTCCTCTTGCACCGCCGTCTACAAGAGGACCTCACAGGTCCTGTCCCTTTGTATATATACGTTCACCCTATGGTCGTTGTAAAGTTAACTGCTTTTTAGACCATTAAACCTTGAATTACCTTGAATAACTATTGGTCAATATTGTCTGAATGGAATCAGCAGCAGTTTTTACAATCATGACGTCAGCATTGTGGACAACCGTTCGTCCGTTTATGCCAGAGTAGGCTTATTTTAATTAAGTGCTGTCATCTTGTCAGTGCTAATTTGGTTCTTTTCTCAAAAGTTAGCTGTTCATGTACAATAATACACTTTGATGAGTTTATTTCGTTTGAATGGAAACATTAAATTACTCTCTAAAATAGAATTTTAAGGGACGGATTTTGCTAACCCTACCTTGTTCGTTGACTAAAATAGCGAACAATAAAACGAGTGCTTCTTCACATAGAGTCACAAGTGCTAACGCGCAAGTGTGTTAAGTGCGGAGCTATCTGGAATTGTAGCCATCGTAACACAAATTTGTGACCGATTTTTCAGCGTTATTCCAGACCGGATATGAGACACCACAACACCCGGTCGTTTTAGTAATCCCGTCAAATGCACAGAAGCTTACGTGATTGCTTTAACGTACAAGAAGCGGCTGGTGAGATATCCCTTTTCTCTAGGAGCGTCACGTCTCTTGGTATCACTTTTTTTGGAGCGCTACTCGGGTAAACATACACCTCATATTTCAGTCGATCTTATTACTAGCTAGAACACCCAATGTCATGTGTTTTGGCTCGCTTACTTTCACACCGAAATGATGTGAACATCACAAAAGAGGGATTCGTTCGATCCTTGTGGTTTCCAGATGAGCGATTCATTCAACTCAAGTTGTCAACTTCTAATGTTGATTTTGGGAACCTGGTCAACGTCCTTATTAGATTATTATGTATCTGTAGTTAAGCAATTTATCGCACTCATCCTACTGCTGCCTGCAGCTAAGTGTGTTGATTCGCGGCTATCATCGGGATCTATAGACAGATAAACGAGAAATCGTTCCTTGTCCTGACACTGGAATCTGACTTAACACGAGCTTGTTAATCGGTCGTTTTTTTTGCTGAACCATTCTAACCTCAGCTCATTTAATGGGGATAGATCGTTCAGCCATTTGGAGGACTCCTTTTTAACTTCAGGTTATAAAGTAGTGAAGAGCCGGTGTGATTATCTCTTAATGGGGATGATCGTTCAGCCATTTGGAGGACTCCTTTTTAACTTCAGGTTATAAAGTAGTGAAGAGCCGGTGTGATTATCTCTGATGGAGTAGAAACTCGGGTCTGATTCTCCTTCTGCTGAGGACAAGTCATGGTTGTTGCACTAGGTGACTGCAGCATTACACTGATTGTTCAAACGGTGTCAATCTGGACAGTAATTCAACGATTCACATAACCGCAAACGAACGGCCTCGCTAAACCCCAGTATCTTATTCAAATCTGGTTAACCAATCAGTAGCATTACACTGAACTACTCTCATTCTCTGTTTTCTATTCACCTTATACTCGTTGTTGACTCCTACTCCTAGAGCACACCTAAAACCACCTATTAGTCATTGGTTTTTGCAGGACTCACGATATCAGTAAGTTATTTAACTTTGCTTCCATTTATTTATTCCCTAGCAAACCCGTCTAACCAGCGAACAATGCAGCCGATGCCACCTCGTCCAGTGAGTCTGTCCTTTTCGCATCATTCACTTGTTATCTTGTAGCGAAGGGTCACCACAATGACTGCTGGAGTCCGGCCCACCCAGCCATCCTCGTCGGTTCGACATTCGTCGCCCAAGTTCGATCGACGTCACGATGCCACCGATCTGGTCCTAAATGTGAATCATCTGATTGTGATATATGTATATAACCCCGCGCAGTTGTCTTTACTTTCTCCATTGCTACAGTAGACTGATTGAGTGCTGACTCCACACCCAAAATATAAAAATGACTGAATGAATCCTTAAGAGATCAGTTTATTGTGTTCTTAGTCCAGTAGACCCATGCGTCGATGCCCTTCATAAAACAATTCCGTTTCCCAACACACCTGGAATTAATGGGACAAAGGAAATATGACAGCGTCCGTGCACTCCATCTATAAACAGTGGGTGATGATCCCCTGGCGTTTATCAGGTGTTTTTTATTGGCTGAATCAAATATGAACTGTAACAGCTTGTAGTCTCCATTTCGTGTTCTTCATTTCAGGATTCTGTCGCTTCGGCCATCACATCAATATCTGCCTGTGGAAATCCGGTTCGTCGTCGATCACTGAGCTCGGGCAGCCTGACGAGCACATCTGTCTCCCCATCAACCAAAACTCCTGTTCACTGTGGTCAAAGTGATATTCTGTCACTTCACCAAGCTGTGCTTACAGAATGGGCTATGGTGCACCAACGCCTCAGTGAATTGACAACGGCTCAGAAAGAGAGTGAACTTGTATGTGCTCTGTTTCGATGGAGGTTTTTTCGCTTGTTCCCGCTTATGTAGTTCTATATGCGTCGTAACAGTCGGTTTGTGTTGACAATCGATGTAACAATCGCAATAAACCCGAATTCAGGCTTGAACTAAACATGGATCCTAAGGTTCCCCACCTCGTCCCTATTGCCGATTCATTTTCGGCTCCAGCAACGTCAAACACACCATGGTGGAGTGTTGGTAGCTCGGCTGCATTAATTGTTTGTAGATCAGTTGGCTGTTGATCTGTTCACCTGGCTTACAGACGTTTCCTTATTAATATTTGAGACGTCATCAGTGTTTCGTCCTTACTTTCCTGCGTTTATACAATTTACAAAAGGAGGGTTGACATTTCCTGATGTGAGTGGCCGACTAAGGAACGGCTTCAGTGTAATTTCACCGGTACGGTTAGGCTTTATGCTGCGTTGCGGTCTCCCTATCCTCAATTTGTTTGATCATCCCGATACCTTTTTAGCACTTTCACTTCTGTTTTCTAATCGGCTTGATCCCGAATTGTGTCACTTTGTGGTTTGATCTCATTGAGCTTGGTTGGTTGATTGTGCTTCCGCGTCTTCCTCTGCATCGTTCAGCTGTAACACCCTTTCGGCGCCTAGATGCCGTGCCATCCGAAGGAAGCACGAGGGCTGGGATATTGTCAGGTTGCCCAAGGGAAAGTCGAGAGGCAGAGGTCGGGTTCGAACCCCGGACCTTCTGATCAGTAATTTCGCGCTATAACCACTTGAGCCATCTCGCCCCCTCTTCTTCCATATAGTGACTGATCTCAACGTTCGATCGTAATCACTCGCCTTCATACTCGAAGATCGGAACGGACAACTGGAATGCAGTTCACATGCTAGTGCAGGCAAGGGACAAGAAAGAATGTGAATATATAAGGGCATGCTATTCCGTCGAAGACGCCATCAACAAATATATTGATATCGATACGAAACGCTATTGCCGGAAGCCCGTATTAGTTTTGTGTCCATCGAGGTCGGTGTTTTAGTGAGTAATGATTACTGACAGTCATCTGACTGAACATGACTATGTGGAGTAAGACATTCATCTGCGTTAGTTTGAAACTCAACTTGGTCCGAGATAACTTCCAGTCGACAGGTGGACTCATGGGGAACTAACTGTCCGATGAGCCCCGAATAGGGCTCAATTGACGGTCTTCATCGGACTCGTGTGTGTAGTACATTACAGTTGACTTCACTTCTCAAGGAGTTTACGTTCCAACCCCCCCCCCCCCGTAACAGATGGCGGAACACATTAGTGACTGATTC